TGCTGATGTCTTCGATTTTTTTAAAATTTATTTTATTTTTAGTGATAGAAAAGAGTGGCAAATGTAGAGGTCAGACTGTCAGAGGATTGGCCTGGCCAAGCATCTTTGTCTTCTTGTGCAAGTCTTTGTTTTTGTTAACTCACACTTAAAAATTACAAGTTCTTTGTGTCTTCTAACAAGAAGGCCCAGGAAAAGGTGGATTTTTTTTTTTTTACTTGTAAATTATCTTTTTTATCAGTTTTTTCTCCTGATGTTATTGGAAGTAATCCCTAAGCTACCAATGGATTTTTCAGTCAGTCACTGGTGAAGGCTTCATCTTTTTCCAAACAGAAGACAGAACTTTGCCACCTTCAGCAGAAAGGAAAAAAAATCACAAGTATGCCTCTGGATAGGCTGCAGAAATAGTTGGATTTTAGAAAAGCATGAAGAAACCTCCATGGCCATTTACATGTATGTGTTTATTAGCAAAGAGGAACTCTGCCAATCTAGAGCTCTGTGCCAGCCTGGAAATGGATTTGTCATGGAAATGTCTTTAGAAATGCCCCAGTGGCAGATTATGGTTCAGAGCATTAAAACCATCTCTTTAGATTTACAAATGTGGTGCATACAACAGTTTTGGTGGAGGTTTTTTTGCTCTTTTTTTTTCTTTTTTTTTTTCTGTTGTTTTTTCCAGAACCTGCTGGTTGCCACAGAGGTGGCATAAGACAAAGGCCTGGTGCTCTTCCCTGCATTGAGTCTATCAAGGAATTCAGTGGTCTGAATGCACTTCACTGAGCTGTTCAGTGCTTGGACAGAAGTGGACATCACAATTATAAATGTTTGAGTTCTATGGCTAAAGTTGCTATACGAGTATCACAAGGAATAGCAAAATCCACTTGTGAAGATCCTTACAGGATTGAGGTGGATATTATCCATGGAGGAACGAGTCAGAGGATTTGTGGGGTCTCTTCCAGATTCATTTTCTGTGATTCCTTGAGAAGTTTGTTACCTGGAGTGAGATAAAAGTCTCCCATTTCACTGCTCTTGCAAGTGCTGCTGGAATTAAACTGCAGTTTGAAACAACCTGGGTGCCTGCTTAACTTTACATATGCTGGGCTAATTTTTGATGACAGACCTACTAGAAATATCTACCCAACTTCTGATCCACTGTTCATATTCTTTCCAGGGATTACCCACATGGTATCATAGCCAAATGCTACATCCAATCCCATATTAACCACACAGCCTGCAGCTTGGCAGCTGAGAACCACCACAAGGGAATTCTCCTTCTGCTCCTTGATGGTGAGCAGGAGAGCTTCTACCAGGACACACATCCTTCAGAAGACATGGCATTCCCTCTTTGGGCAGCCTGGCTCACTCTGGGTATTGCTCAGGTCTTGATCCCAAAGACAGCCACCCACAAAATGCACAAATGCAGCAGCCTTGAATTCAGCTCAGGGAGTGTGGAAACCCAGGGCACTGGGAATATTTCCCTGTCTGCTCTGGGGTGCCCCTGACCCCCAGGGGAGCACTGACTTTGACCCTCATTCATGGAGAAAGTTTCCTAAACTCCAGAATATACTAGGATCCACTAGGGTGTGATGTAGATTGTAGAGAGTAGTGTAGGTGTATCAGTAGTGTAGGTGCATCACTTAGGTGGGAAATTTGGGTTTTGGGATTTTTAGTATGTTGTGGATGGAAGCAAGATGGAGGGCACAGGATGTTGTCCTGGGCTTCTTCCTCATGCTTCTTCTTCCTCCTTCTCCATGGCTTTGGGTGGCATTTTGTAATTGGGTGGAAAAGTCCATTTTGCAGGCTCTTTGGGATCAGTTATTGGGTTAAAAGGGAAATAATCTAGGTGTCAGTTCTTAATTGGATAGTTTAGCTTTAAAAGACCCTGGAACAAGAGGTTGTTGGCCATTTTGTGATGCTTTTCCAGTGCACTGAGCCTTGTGTGGACAGCGTGCAAAACCCTTGATAAGATAACAATAAAGCTGAAGACCTAAAAAATCCAGTGCGTCTCTTTCCTGACACAAAACCATTCCATGAGGGTCTCCCCCGACAGGAGAGCCCCCTGGGAGGGCCAAGCCAGAGTCCCAGAAATTGGGGAATCAGCAACAGGTACCCTGACAAGGGAGCATCCCTCTCATCACACCTCTGGTATTTCCTGAAGTTGCTCTTCTCCTCCAATGATATTGAAGTTTCTAAGAGGGATATACACCCAGTTGTCACTGAATATTATCTTATCTAGGACTTCAAATTCTCTTCCTGAGGGTCTGGTAACTTAGAAGACTCTTGGTTTCACACAGCTTCAAAATGATCATTCAATTGGGCCATACTCAACTAGAAAAAACAATTAAAATACCCATCCTGTAACATTCCCTGAGCACAAACACATCACTGTCTAATACATTTCCCCACTGAAGAGTCACTACTCAAGAGCAGGGTCATCCAGCTGTTTCAGAGTGATTGATTACTAAATGTGCTGAGATGGAATAACTTATCTCAAACCCTGTGCTTGAAGCCAGCCAGCAGGTCTGAACAACCCTTGTTCAGCTAAGGCAGTTCAGTGAGAACTTTATTCTCACTCTTTAGCAAGATTGCATGTCCTGTAGGGGCTGGCAGGCAAAACTGTGGAGAAAGAAAGAGCACAAAGCCAGCAGGATGTGACTGTGAGGAATCTCAGCAGCTCACTCACAGCATCCTGGCATCATGAGGCACTCAGTGACTGCAAGCTCTGGGGAAGAGGGCAAAAGTTTTGATCAATTGTCACTCCATGCTCTTAGTCAGGAGGTCACGATCCAAATTTGTTAGGGGGCTTTAGTGTACAAGGAGAATCTTTTTTTTCACACACGAGGCAGGATCTGAACTAACTTTAGAAAAACTCAGCAGTTTTGAATGGAGCTGATTTTTCAGAGCATGTGCTAAATGCAAACACAATGAATAAACTGTCTGCAAGAGCAAATTGTCTGCAAATCATTTTTTCTTTCAGCTGAAAGAACTTTCTGGTACTAATTCATTCTGTAGTCCATGAGAATGTTCTCTAGTTTGCTAAAACTAACTGATCTCTCCAATAACAGCAAGGTCCTGGCTTTGTTTCAAGGCAAAGGTTCACTCAATTAAATCTCATTAACAGAGGACCACAAAACCTGCACTGAAACCTTCCTGGGTATGTGACCTTCAGCAGAACTGCTTCATTAAGTCTGAGATCCTGGAGAAAATGTTTGCTGAATAAAGTCATTCCTAATTAATGTTAAAATGTCAATGATTCATGTGCCATCCATCTTTACTCCTTTTCCTTTATGCTCTTCATTATCTCTTTAATGGGCAACCAATATAAAAGTCAAAAGCAGAATCTTTTAAATGTATATAGAACAGGTGGGATAATGCAGCAAAGCAAATTTGCCAGATGTGCTTTCCCATGAAACATTTGTAACTTCTTAAATATCTTTCAAAAACCCCACTTCCATGCTGAATTAAGAATTGATTAATTAATTTGTTATTTCTGAAAACCATATGCATCGAGGATGAATTTTTCCTTGCACCCTTTCTGATGTTACCTTGAGTTTTATTCCAAACCATATGCAAGTCTTGATTAACAAAGTGTTTATTTACCCTGTGATGGATATAATTGTCTGTTCTCCAAGGATTGCTCATCCAATTTTTATTTTTTTTAAATTAAACAGTGTCTGGTGAGTTTTTACTCTTCAGACCAGAGGGATGTCCTGGTTGGACTGGGGGGTCATCAGAGGGTGCTGTACAAACTTGGTGGGTCTGAACTCAGAAAATGCTCATCCCTTTTTCCAATAACCAGTGAGGGCAGCAGATATTGGGGCTGCTTGGACCTGTGCATCAGGACTTCATGGGGAAGGCTTAGAAACACTCTGTAGCCTCTCTAATTTTTATTCTCACATTAAAGTAATGGGACCCATCTTCCTGCCCATCAATCTGTACAGCATATGCGAGCCCTTCTGGTGGTTTAAATAGGAATGACTCACATGATATTCAGCCTCTTAATGAAAATGTATTACATTATTGTCTTTCACAAAATGGGAGGTTTAAAAAGCCAAGTTAATGTCTTCCAAATGTCAGTAACTGGAGACACTTTGGACCAAGAGTGAATTTTACAGCTTTTCTGCAGATCTGTAAGATGAACTCATCTTTACAATGAAGGATATTCAATTATATTAAAAGTATTAGAAATTAGCAGATATTTGAATTTGAATTTAATAAGAACTAGGTTTTGCCAGTATTAAAAATAATTTCACATAATGGCAATATTGTTTTCTCCTTACATACTTGAACTCTGACATGTTTGCATTGGCATTTTTCTGAGCACCTTTTCATTGGTAATTATATTACTGAAATCTCCAAAATCCCAAATTTCAGTGGTATGAAGGATCAGTCTCTAATCCTGGCTCCTTATGGCAAATTGCCTTGCAAAAGTGATTTTAAAATGAAATAGGGATAAAAGTCAAGATGGTATCCAAGGCACAGACTTTATAGCCTGGTACCTTGCTTTGGAGTTCCAGCCTTTCATAAATTACAGAAAATTTCTACATTTATTTATTCCCAATTGGCAACAGAACTTAGGAATATTTAAATTGTTGCTGAAGCACTTGTATAAACGCTGTTAGAATTGATTGATATGTGTCTGGTCTGATGTTGTGAACTCTAATGATGTGCAGGACACATGGCAGGAGCAGCAGTGCCTGTTATGCTGTCATGAGTGTGTGTACTAATATGAATATTAGTGTGTACTAATATGAATAATTTGATGTTTCTTCAGCAAAGGTAATTAAGCCTAATAACCTATAAATACAGAGTAATTGTTATCAATTGTGCTCATTTGTGTATATGGCATAATTTGATGAGTATTTTTGATTGATATTCCTGTGGCATCCTCCCTGTGCTGTGATTAGACTGGGATTTTCATATCTGCACTCTTTCATTTATTGCTAACTAGTAATTTACCTCTAATAGCCTTTTCTTTTCTGTTCTCTCTTTTTTTTTTTAATTAGAGGAGATCTTGAAGACTCACATTGCTCATTGGTGGTCTCCTGATGGCACCAGGTTGGCATATGCAACAATTAATGCCTCCAGAGTCCCCACCATGGAAATCCCAATATATACAGGCATCCTTTACCCTACTGTTAAAACTTACCATTATCCAAAGGTAAGGGAAAATAAAAGTATAATTCCTGCTGCTCTATCAGAAATAAATAATTGTTTATTTCCAGTAGGCTCAGACAGGAGACTAATAATGCACGCTCATAAGCAATGAAAATAAACAAATCAGCTGTTCCTCAGCAAATGTGCATTTAGCACGTTCTTTAGCTGCATTTGTAAAATTGCACTTTTCTGGTTCTATGACAATTAGTAACTCTGTGTACAATTAAAATAAAATTTAAAAATCCTTACTTTTTACACACACAAAAGCAATTTTGCTTCCATGCTGGAACGGGTGGAAGCTGGATGTTATCTGTGGGTTTGTCTTCCAGGATGGAGTTGTTGGTGTCTGAGGGCTTGGAATTTCTTTATTTCTGTGTTTGGATATGTTTCTATATTTAGACATGTTTCTATATTTAGATATATTTCCATATCTAGATTTTTTTATTGATAGATGATAGAGAGATAAATAATAGAGATAGATAGATAGATAGATAGATAGATAGATAGATAGATAGATAGATAGATAGATAGACACATACATCCATATATTCTATATTTACATAGATTCCTTTTTGTATAGAAGGAAAATGTAGTATTTGGGCTTCCTTACAATATTCAAGACAGCCTAATGTCAGAGGAGACATTGCTTTTACAGGTTTGCTGTGCCTGAAAGACAGAAAAAGACTTAAGAGCCAATCTGCCCTTGACTGCAGACCTGCAGGGAGTGCACAGCACTGGCACAGCTCCCCACCAGCACAGACTCACTGCTGCTGGTATTGCTGTAATTTCCTGCTCTAAAGCAGCACAGGGGGGTCTGCTGCACTCTTTCCTTCTGGGTTTCTTGCTTTAAGCACTGGTTGCCTGAGACCTCACATGCTGGCTCAAATTGAAGCATAATTTAACAGGAGAGATACCCACAAACATGCAGGTTTTGTGGAAATCAATGGTTCAGCAGGAAATACCCTTTCCTACAGTACAAAATGAATCAGTATTTCACTATATCAACCATCATCCCATTAGACAATCTTTGTCAAAAGGTGCAGGAAATAGCAAAATTTCTAGTTGCCATGAAAAGTAGGGGTTTTTTACTAAGGTTAGAAGTGTCCTGAGTAAAATTGCCCATTTTTTTGTGCTTGCCAACCTCTCCACACCTCTGTGCCACATCCCTGGATTTGCAGTCTCCCTGTGAAAGACCACAGCAGTCCAGTCCATCTCCTGTTCAATGGGAATGCTTTTCATAATCCATGGGGATGCAATAAATCAAAACCATTCTGTTTTTTATATGATATGGTAATTTATTCTTTTCTAAAATCCAGGCTGGAATGGAAAATCCAACCATTTCTTTGCACGTGATTGGTCTGAATGGACCCACTCATGACCTGGAAATGACTCCCCCAGATGATCAGAGAATGAGGTAGGTGCTTTCTCACCTTTCAATGCTAGCCCCAGTTCCTTTGGGGAATTTTCAAGATAATTTTTCAGTTTTTAACACTGGACCTTTCTCTGCTGCTATCAGAAAGTTTCATTTTGTGTAAATCTGCTTTATTTTTTTTTCATTTACTCATCTTTTTACATGCATTTTATAGAATTCTATATTATAACAGACTTACACTGAATAACTTTGAATTGATCCAAACACATTTATACAAAAGAAGATGTGTGACCTGTGGCCAAACCAAATGGGTATTTGCCTTTCAAAAATACAACTTCACACCTGTCTACAGCAAGTGGGAATTCAGGATCACAGTATCCCCATCACAGTAACAGAATGGTGGCTCCTGAACAATATAATTTCTCTTTTTGGTAGCATTCTCTGTAAACAGAGAGACTCAGAAAAGTTTTAATTACAGCAATAACTTCTGACTGCTGGATCCAAGTGTTGTTCATAAATTTGTTCTGTATGGTTATGGGTGGCCATAATTTATTTAGTTGCAATCAATATTGCAAAATTATGCAAAATGCATCATAATTAATTAGTGCTTGTATATTTCATCAAAACCATGGCAATTTCCATCTCTAGGGATGATAGAAGTAGTGCTGCCAGAGCAATAGGGGTGTATTTTCATTATGCATATGTTTTCTGAAATGAGAAGATCAGTGTGATAAAATGTTATTAAAACAGGCAAGAGGGATGTACCGCACATTCAGTTACAGAAGGGAGTCTCAAGAAAGCAGGGGAAGCTGGTGATAAGGATCTTCCAGCAGACACATCCTATCTGAAGCATTTCAGTGTGCTCAGTGCAGATGATGTATGGACAGAGTGGGATTTTGTGTTCTTTTTATCTGGAGCAAAGTGATTTAGTACAATTAATAAAGCTGAGAATAAAGTGGAGATATGCCACGGCCTTTTTTTCTATCAAAATTGAAAGAAGCCAGAAATTTTCCACAGAAATTGGATATTTTTCAGTTAAAACCAAAAAATAAAATAAAATAAAATAAAATAAAATAAAATAAAATAAAATAAAATAAAATAAAATAAAATAAAATAAAATAAAATAAACAAAGAGGAAAATAAACAAGAAAAAACAAAGCAAAGCTGATGATGGGAAAACATATTTGTGGGTGAAATGTACAATATTGATCACTTGTCTTTTTTAAATATCTTTCATTCTGAATATTTTTTCAAGTTTTCTCCAAAGCCATGCTCTTCTGTGAAAAAAAGACAGTGAAGAGAAGGGGTTGAAATTGAAGGGTGAAAAGTAGTACTATAATATTTTATGCCTGACAGGCTTTTTTTATTTTGGTGAAAACCACTGGACCTCAAGAGTTTCATCTGCAGATGGTCAAAATTTGATCATCTCCCAGCTTATTTCTCCTATTTGCATCTTAGGTGGCAAGTTGAGGGATGATTTTATCTCCATCAAGTGCAGAAATCATCACTGGCCCTTCTGGCATGGGCCCGAAACAAATAAATAATAGAAAAACTCAGACAATTCCAGCCTGGATGTGAGGCAGTGTCTGAGCCCAGGGATCATGGGCTGGGCTGCTGCCTGTCCCTTGGCCTGTGATAAATCCCTGTCTGTTCTTTGTGCTGTTTGTGACTTTGGCCATACTGTAGGTATTCATATTGTAGAGTCACACCTCATGTTTGGGATTCCTGCCTCCAGGAAGCAGCCATGGAGAGCTGGGGCATGGACAAGGCTGCTGCGCAATAACCTCAGTCTCAGATGATTCAGATCAAACCAGAAATGTCTTTACTGGGATGTGGAAATCCATTGCAAAACTCAGGATGGCTTCACCCTCCCTGGCAGGGCTCAAGCAAGGTGTCCCTTCCCTTTTGCTCTGCTGTGGATGTCTGTAAATGCAGTGCTCAAGGACCTGCTGGTATTTTGTTCTATGGAAGAAAAAAGTTCTCCCTTAAATCAGCTCCACATAAATTGTGGGACAAGTCAGGCAGGGGGGGCTTGGCAATTGCACTGATTTCCCATTTCTCTCCACTGGCTGCTCCACCATGCAGCTGCAGGAGCAGCAGATGTTGAACACTAGCTGAGATGAATCACACATTCTTGTCTCATTTTCCTCTGCAAAATGAGAACCATAAAACTTGGGTGTCCTATAGAAGAGATGTGAAGGGAAGTAAATGGAATGAAAGACTCCCCACTACTCAAAAACTAGAATAATGACTATCCAGGTATCTGCTGCTATCTTTGGGCTGGGTTATCTGTGGTCTTGATGACTGGAACAGAGTTCAGAGGGGAATTGAGACTCCACGCCCTTCTCTGGGGTAGGGAAGACCATGATTCACCTAAAATAAAAACTAAAAGTTCCTGAGAAAGAACTGTGGCTCCTGTGTTCAAATAGTGAGAGAGATGTAAAAATTGAATATATGTCTTTGAAACTTTAAATTGGATTTATAGAAGAAATGCTCCAAGCCACAATAAGTACTAAAATCACATTCCTTTACTGGGGAGACTGAATCTGCTCAGTTCATTTTGGAGAGAAAGAAGAGACAGCTATACAGTTTAATTTTGCTGTGTTGTTTTTTTTTTTTTTTTTTTCCTCTTAGGGCCTACACTGTTGCTGATGAAGAGTAAAATTACAATTTTATTTCAGGCTCTAAATTTTCAGACTGCTGTTGTCTCACCTGGGCATATCCTTCCCTCTAGTTCAGTAGATGCAAGCATTGAGGCCTTTTGTTCATTTTCCTTGCAGCCAATTTCAGGCACTAAATAATACTGAAAAGTACAAAATCAATTTCCAGCTTGTTATTTTTCTAGACAAACAGACCTTTGTGCTTTTGCCCTTTCTCTTCAGTATATGCAGGAGCTCTTGCCAGAACTCAAAGGGCTCTCCTGTGACACAGAGCATTATTTCCAACGAGAACAACAATTCCTTATACATATTTTATAGCAAACAAATGAACTAATAAATTTTTTATAGACTGTATGCTGTAAAAAGTCTTATTATGCTTTAAGGATGTCTTGGCCCACATGGCCCAGCAGAATATTATAACATCATAGCTTTGGCAGTTCAGCCAGAGTTGTGCCCTACAAATGAAGTGGTGGAGCCCTGAATTGCTGCAGAGGTGGACATTGGTAGCATCATGCCCTGGCTCTGAGAAAACAACCATCAGTGAATTTATTCCTGCATTTTCCAACCCAGCCCAAGTGGCTGCAGTCCTCACTATTGAATGGGGCTTTTCCTGGAGGTATCAATTACAGGACTGTGCAGCCCACACCCATGGTTTGCTCCAAGTACCATCACAACCTGAAAATGTCCAGCAGTAAGATGGTGCAGGCAGTGTAGGAGGGTGGTTTTGCTCATGCAAACTATCTCTGCTGATGTCTTTATGGCAACCAGCTGCATCTGCTTTACAGGAACCCTGTGTCACTCCAAACTCAATCCTTCTTACTATTTGTCTTTTAATACAACACTCCTGGACACTTTGGTGTGTAGCCAGCAGGCCATCAGCTTTTCATAAGCATCAAGAGCCCAACCATTGATAGTCATGGGTCTGAGTCAGCTCACTTCAGTGTGCTCAGAATGGAAATGGTTTGCAATTTCTTTTCCACCTGTGCATAAATGTGTAGCCCTAGGCAGTTCAATCCTTCTTGGAAGACAGAATAGCTTGAAAGATTCTTTATCTCTGTATTCGTCTCTTCTTTGAAAATAACTTCCAGTAGTGGCAGATAAAACACCTGCTCAGTCCTAAAAATGTCATTTTTAGGGGTTGAAATCCATACATAAAGCAGTCTGGATACATCAGGACATGATGTTCTCTAAAACCACAGCTCTCTCCTGGCCTGTTTGCCTGCAGCAGATGCTCTGCCATGTGGCAGTTCAGGATGGCAGCGTTGTGATCTGGTTTCTGTGTGTGTGTGTTTGCAGGGACTACTACATCACCATGGTGAAATGGGCCACCAGCACCAAGGTGGCAGTGAACTGGCTGAACAGGGCCCAGAACGTGTCCATCCTGACGCTCTGTGATGCCACCACGGGGGTCTGCACCAAGGTAGGAGGGGTTTGCAGAGCACTCACTTGCCATCAGTGTCCAAAACCCATGCAGGGAGAAACTATTTAACTTATTTTACATGGTGAAAAGCCAGCTGGAACACATTAATTTAGGCATACAGAACATAAACAATGTTCAAATTTTAATTTTTTTTAACACTCAAGTAATCCAAGAACACTCTGTGTTTGTCTTGATTACCTTTACCTGCACACAAGCAACAATTTGCAACCTAAATACCTTTGCAATATTCAAGCTGCATTATATGTATTTAATGGCATCAAAACAAGCTCATGCTTATCTACACAGATCTTAATTGTAGTTAATTAATCCCTTCTATAAGTGCACTAATACAAATGGTGTATTGATATAAGATCAGCAGATTCTCTTAGCAGATTCTACCATTTAAACTGGCATGTGTTTCTACTGTATAAAATTGTTCTAATACACCTATCCCTTGAAAGAGATCAAATAATTCTGTGCATAGAGCATGGTGAGAAGTTTTTTTCTTAATAATTTTCATTTCAGCCTTTATTTATTTCTTAAGAAGATTTATTTCTTTGGGGAATAATACATCTTGTGGATTTATGTATTTTATCTGTATGTGTAAAATGCTTTCTTGAGCTAGTGAATGTTTATCCATCAGGGAGGAAAGTCAAGAAAAGCAGCCACTAGATTCCATTCCAGAAGCACATATTTAAACAGTTTCTCTGTATTTCTGACCAACTTTTCAACTCCAATCCAACAGCTTTATGCATTGATAGGCAAAACATAATATATGACAAGTATGGTATTAATGATCTTTTTGTCTTTTAGAAACATGAAGATGAGAGTGATGCCTGGCTGCACAGACAGGTAAGAGTGATCTTCCCCTTGTAGTCAAGTTTTTGGTAAGATAATTTCTTCGCTGAGTTTTTCCCCAAAGAGAAAAATCTGATTTCCAGATTTGAGAGAGCTGCTTGGAAGATAGCATGATGTGTGTAACAGAAAAGAGCTTTCTCAGTAACAAACAAGTTCTCAGTAAAGGTGCCATCCACTCTGGTAGGTCCCATAGTCCTTAGCCTGCAATTTAATTGTATTTAAAAGAGATGAAAAGCTGATGTGGGTGGGAGTATCTGTATAGGTGTATATATATATATATATATGAGAACTGGCAGTTTCTGACTCATCAGCCTCAGACACAACCCTTCATACCCTGCCCTGACACTGATGATGACAGTTTAAACACTATTATGGTTGTTGTTGTTGTTTTCTGGTCATTTTATTGAGAGGATCTCTGTCCATTCAGAGACAAAAACCATGCAGATGGACTCTTGAGTCACTTAAATATCATATATAACACTTGCCCAGGAGTCAGTTTGTAAAGGGATCTCAGATTAAATGAAGCTTTTTTTGAGAGAGAAGCTGTGATCTCGATTCAGTCACAACACTAAACTGTTTTTCAAGCCTTGTATGAACACCAGACAGGGAGCAGCATGTCACAAAATAGCTTGTTCAATATATTTTTCCAAGTCCAGATTTAAAGCATTTCAAATTTTTGTCACAGCCTGCTCAGAGGAGCCGAGACCCTGTAGAAATGGCACTTCATCAGTTCACAGCAAGAACAATGCTCTCCTCTGTTCCAGTGGCTGTCCCGCAGCAAAAGGCTGTGTGTGATCCACAGGAAAATTGATTTTATGGGGAAATAGATTTTGTGCTCCAAGCATTTCAAATAATCTTTTGCTGATATAGAGTAAAAATGGTGCTGAAATATTCTTTACATTCATAAGGACTGTATTGGCTTGAGTAGGAAACAAAAGCTTAAAAGACAAGCCAAATCAAGGGGAAATTCAATTGTCCGTGTATTGTATGTTAAAAAAAAATTCAAAAACCCATTCACCCAACCAACCAAAAAGGCAAAAAAAAAGGAAAAGGAAAAAAAAACCAAACAAAAAACCCCCCAAACAAATAAAAAACCACACCCTTAAATGGCATTATTTATTTTTATAAGTTTGAAGGCAATAGCAGTAAAATAATCCTTCCATTGCTATTTACTGCAGTATAGTAGAATCTGTGTTTTATACTGTGTTTTATATTACTAATACAGCATAATAGAACTTGTGTTTTTACACTGCTGTAGTTATTTAGTCACCTACCACGTGGACAGGCATTAAAAGATAGTGCTTTATCCTCATATCTGAAGTAAATGATCTGTCAGTCTCTAATGGCCTTGCTCCAGGGAAATACATTTTGTTTTACTACATCTCCAAAAAGCATATACTTAGTTTGAGAGCACACTCTTAGTTTAATGTTAGAGAAGGATGTTCATTATAGCCAAATGAGTCAGACATCTCAGTGCTAAACCAAAATAACATTTTCTATGGACTTTGGAGACATTTGATAGCATCCTTCAAAAGCCTTTGTAGCAGTCTGAAGAATCATATAGCTCTTTTGCGAGTATTTCTGACAACAAAATTACTTAAAATTCTAGTTTTCACTGAACATGATTACTGGGATAATTGTATTTCCTACATTTGCCTTTTATTCTATGACACATTAATCTAGATAACTGGAAAGGTATTTTCATGGCATGTGTGCCCGACTATGAGGATGATGTGAAAATGTTAAATGCTAGTTTGGGTCCACTAACCTCTTCAAGGAGGAGATGAATTGCACATCAGGCAGCTGCTGAGGGAGCTCAGGAGTGGCTGGGCTCAGGATGAGGAATCCTTGGTTGAGACATTTGAATATGAATATTAAAATTATATCAAATTATATTAAAATTAAATCACTTGCTTTGCAAGTGAGTGGGGTCACACAGCCAAGGGACCCTGGGCAGGGTTCAGCCCACCCAAAAACCTCCTTGCAAGCAGTGTCCCAATTCTAAATAAGCACGACCAAGGAATCCAACTGCTTACCTTGTTCTTTAAAATACTCCTTAAAAATTCTCCATATGCCTGGTTTGAAAGGTTTTTTGCATAGGTAGGTTTTACCTTTTTTCCTGGGAATTTAGGTTCATCCTCAAATAAGGACAAACAGCTGGGAGCAGGAGACAATAAGATTTTCTATATTTGCTTTTTATTCTATGACACATTATTCTAGATAACTGGAAAGGTATTTTCATGGCATGTGTGCCCGACTATGAGGATGATGTGAAAATGTTAAATGCTGGTTTGGGTCCACTAACCTCTTCAAGGAGGAGATGAATTGCACATCAGGCAGCTGCTGAAGGAGCTCAGGAGTGTGGCTGGGCTCAGGATGAGGATTCCTTGGTTGAGACATTTTAATATAAATGTTTGTAAGTGAGACACCAGGGTGGTGGCAGTGGGGTCACACAGCCGAGGGACCCTGGGCAGGGCTCAGCCCACCCCAAAAACCTCCTTGTGAGAACTATCCCAATTTTAAATCAGCAGGACCAAGGAATCCAACTGCTTACCTTGTTCTTTAAAATACTTCTCTAAAATTCTCCATATGCCTGGTTTGAAAGGTTTTTTGCACAGGTTTTACCTTTTTCCTGGGAAATTAGGTACATCCTCAAATAAGGACAATCAGTCAGCTGGGAGCAGGAGACAAGAAGATATTCAACAGGGACATGAGGTGATGTCCAAGGATGACAGGGTTGAATTTTTTCAGCTGCCTGAAATCCTGGGAGATCTGAGATAAACCATACAAGCCATGAATTTGAATTTTGTTGTTTAGTAGTTTGGTGACTCAGTGGCATTTAAAAGTCTGTGAATGCAAGGTCATAGTAAAAAATCTCTCGTTTCCTTCTGGGCTCAAGTTTATAAATATATTTTATGCAAGTCCAAAATCTTCGGAGAGCCTCTCTCCAACACAGGCAAGAAGAAATAATGCAGCCCCTCCCTGTGCAGCTGAAAAATAGAATAAACTACTCAAAGTATAATGAAGAATATTTACACAGTAATTGTTAGAAATTATCTGTCACTCTTTGTCAGATGAGGTGGCACATGTTCACTAAAACTGCCCAGGGACTCTGCAAGTTTATATTTTTTTTTATTTATATACTTTCTTGTGCACTTCTAATCACAAGAGCCAGACTGAACTTCACTCCTGCTTTTGCTTAAAAACACAAACTGTTTGAAACACTAATTATAGCTGTAAACAATTTTGTTTCAATTTCTGTGAAGAAGCCTGTTTCCAATAGTTCTAAGGGTGGTCATGTACAGGCAATGATTCAGCAAGAGAGAAATCAGGCAATTTCTGAGCACCTGCTGATGATAAACTTAACTGGCATTTTAATTGTTTTATTTATTTAATTGTGTATGTAGCCTGAAAAAAAGATTTAATTAGAAACCAGGATGCAATTGCAACTCCACCAAGGGCTGCAGTCTTTGGCATTGACATTGGCAGGACCAGGAGACCATAAAATTGTTCAGAGACCTGTAACCTCCAAAACTGCCTGCATGGGCTGGCTGCCCTCCCCTGATAACATCTTCTTTGGGTTGCATTTTTCTTTCCAGTCCTATTTGACCATTGTTTTAGATGACCTCAGTCTGAAGCTAAAGACTCACTCTCTTAAAAGGTGGAGGTGATGAAAACCTGGCACCATTTTTCTTTTGCTACTCCCTTGCTTTAATCCTGCATGATAACCCAGTAATGATTCTTACACGTAGTTAATATGAGGTTTGAAAAGAGATTTTTAATTTAAAAACATAGATCAGAGGAACTTACAAACAGGACCCACTTTTTCAGTCTGTAAAGCCCTTTTGCCATACAATTATCCCATAATTAAACTAATTTTAGCCTAAAGACAGAGGATGCAGCAGAAATAGGACCCAAAGTTCCATAACTCAAATACTCAAATTCATCTCCCAGAGATGAAAAAGCAGCTCCTGGCTACAAATAATCTTTTTGCTGCTTAAATGAAGAGTTCCCATTTCACCCAGTGGAGGGGATCTGTACCCAGGGACATGGGATCCCCTCCAGTTGTTGACCCTGATTTTGGTGCTTCAGAGATGGCCAAAGGTGTGGTGCACCCAGCCACAGAAGAGGATGAGGACGGGGATGAAGATGAAGCTCAGCACTGCCCCAGAGGCTGAGTGTGTCAGGAGATGGAAAGAGAACTTCCCCCTGTGCCCCCAAGAGGAGGTGTCTGCATTGTCCCTTTAGAGTCAGTGCACTTTGGGTGTTTGCTTTGTTGGATTTAAACCAAGTGTTTACCAAGGGATTAAAAGAATTCATGTCACACCCATCTGTTTATCAGAGCTGGGGGCCTGTGACACAGAAAGTATTGGGGCATTTCACTGAAAGAATAATTTGACAACACAGCAAAATCATTAATTATGGGATCTGGGCAAAGGTGAATCAGATGGAGAGGGCAGGAGACTGCTGAGGAAGGGAAAATGCATCAGAGAATCAATTGGAAAAGATCCAGTCATTCAGATTAGTTTGTTTCCTTTTAAAAACCTGAGGATGAACCAGAAAATCATAATTCTTATGGAAGTATAACTCTCAGTCAGTAATAAAACCAACATGCAAAGAATATTTTTTAACACTAATTTCTGTGGGGAAACGTGTCCAAGAGCATGTGAGGGACTGCAGAAGGGCTGGGAGTGTGTTGAGCATGGACAAACCAATTTGGAGGTGCAATGTGTGGTGCTGAAATCTGAGGATTGTTTGCCCCATGTTGATGTGTGGGTGGGTTTGGTGGAGCTGTCCTTCTGTGCCCACTAATCTTTCATAAATTCCAGCTCACCCTAAATCGGATAAATCCTCTTTCAAATATTTGTCCTGGTGTGTGTTTGATCATGCAAATCCTCAAGGTCAGAGACACCTGTGCACTCCCACCATCCTGTACAGACCTTATCTTCCCTTGTTTTGCCAGAGGAATCTTCCCCAGGTGGCTGCAGATCCAGTGATTCTCAGTGGTCCCTCTCCAAACACAACTGAGTACACTCTACCTTCTTCTCTTTAGTTGTTACTCTTTACACCAGGACTTTGTGCCCCTCTCTAGGGTCTACAGAAGCTCAGACTGCATTTAGCATTGTCTCCTCACCCATCCTGATTCTGCTAAACTCAGGATGTGCCCTGAGGCACTCCTCTTCTCCTGACCATTTGCAGATACACTGACTGAGTTGTGCAGCTCTGAGCTCCAGCACTGAACACTCCAGGAGGTTCTGAGCCCTCCAGCAGCCTCCCATTACCTTCCCTTTTCCAATAAAGCTGAAGTATTTGGTGGCATAACTTTCTCATATTTCACTATCATCTACAACAAAAAGATTACAGGCATTTGAGACTATACCCATATCCTTTAAAATGTGTTAATGAAACATGAGTTTGTTCAATACCTTTTTTCACCCACTGATTCCAGCTGTGTCTATAATACTCCTGTGGCAAAAACTTCCAAATATCCCATACCTGCTGCATAGTAAAAGTATTGTCTTTACTAGCACTAAACTCATCTATTATTTTCAAGGATGCTGTTCTGTTCTATTATTGTGGGATTCAGTCAACAATCATTGACAAAAGGTTCTGACAGCTCATATCACAAGCAGAATACTTTAATTATGTGCCCAGTGTAGCTCCCTAAATTATAAAATCCTGTTCCAAGAGAATTTCAGCCTGTCTTTCCATTTACCCCCTGGGTAAGCCATCATCTCTGTCACAAAGTTCTGCCTCATTCATTCATGTGTTGCCTTTCCAGCAATGGAACATGCAAACAGACTGTCCTGTATCATCAGCCCAGTGCTCAATCCTCACATCTGTCACCTGAGCCATGAACCTCTGTCCCCTGCAGCTCTGAATGAACTCAAACTCATCAGCACAAAGCCTGCTCTCACTGGCAGAGACATATTGCTGGAATACATAATGCAGGAGGCACAGATATAGAAATGGAGGGTGAGCTCATTGCTACCTACCTCAGGAAAGGAAAACCTGTCCAGCAGAAGGTTTGCCTGAGCTATCACACTCATTATTCAGTGAGGTTTTTGCTGTCATGAAAGACATTTGGAAATAATATAGAGTTTCGTGTTTCAAGTTCCAGAACAATGTCAGAAATAAATGAAACCATTATTTCATTGAACTGCTACAAGCTGCATATGGGCACATTTTAAAATATACTGAAAACCTAAGCAGGGGAAAATAAAAGGCAAAAAGAACAGTTTGAACACCTAATAGAGCACTGACAAATCTGATAAACAGAAGAAAAGAATTAATCAGTAAAGAACAAAGGAGCAAAGGAACATAGAGTAAGAATAATGTGTTAGCTTATGGGAAATAAAAATGTTTATTCCTTTGCTGTGCCTTAAGTCTCCATGTATGATCAGGTTCCTGCTGGTTCAGTGTGGTTCAGTGCTTGGCATGTGCCAAGCAGAAAGTCAAAGGGTTTGATTAACACTGAACTGCAGACGACCCAGAAAAGGCTGGCATCAATCTCCTTGTGGATTGCCCTGGATAAAGAAGAGTTAACAAACCCCAACCAGGGAAAGGCCCATCCAGGCACAGAAAATCCTGATATCACAGGACAGTTTCAGCAGGGCTTCAGCTTATTATTCACTCCCAGCTAGTTGAGACTTGTCGCAGACGTCTTTTATGAAAAATCCTTTCCTTAAAATTTTTCCTCCTGAGAAGCTGACAGGCCTCAGGAACAAAATGTAATGGTAGTCTGCTGCTGTGGAATGCAACAGGTGCATCTGTGATTGGCCCATGTTGGATGTTTGTAACTAATGGCCAGTCACAGTCAGCTGGCTCGGACTCTCTGTCCGAGACACAAGCCTTTGTTATCATTCCTTATTTTTCTATTCTTAGCCAGCCTTCTGATGAAATCCTTTCTTCTATTCTTTTAGTATAGTTTTAATATAATATTTACCATAAAATAATAATTCAAGCCTTCTGAAACATGGAGTCAGATCCTCATCTCTTCCCTTATCCTGGGACTCCTGTGAACACTTGTCACAGAGACTTGGAGTTAGCTTCATGTAGCCAGTCCTGTTGGTTCAGTGCTCCTGTGTCCCACCACATGGACCAACTTTCTGCCTTCCCTGGTAATCTGCTGCTCAACCTTTTCATGTAGTGGAGACTTCTCATGTGCCTCAGGGCTCTTGTTAACAAACAGAGTGCTCCCTTCCAGGAGATGCTTGCTTGCCACTTGTGGTGTTTGATTTTCCATCTGCTGAGTCTCTTCTGTCTCTGGGGGGAAGTTGCAGTCACCCTATAAAAGTCAATCACCAGGTTCACCTGGGAGCTCTGTGTCAGAGTTCTGCAGGAGATCCTCTCCTTCATCCTCTCCTTCATAAATAATTCAGTGAGATAAGCATTTGTAAGGCAGTAGAAAAAGACAGCAGTTAATGCTGTTCAGTTTTTTTTCCCTTGGAAGAACACAGAGGCTGTTCCAGCAGGGTAAACAGGGTTTGTCACAGCAGTTCTAAAGGCTCCCAGTGCCCCAAGCAGCCAGCTGTGTATGTGCATTTTGGCTTTGCAAATGGGACTTGACTTTATAGCCAAGGAAATCTCCTTGCTGCCTGTTCTCCCCCAGCTGAAAGGTGTCTGTTTTCCCAAGAACAAGAAGCAAAACCCAAAACTTCCTCCAGTTTTCAGTGGGCTCTTTGTTTGCCTCAGCTTGCTCGCAAAGAGTACTTTCTGTTTGCTGTGAATTCATTTTGCAGGGTGTTGGAGTGCTGAGCAATTCTAAATACAACCAATTAATAATAATACACCCATAATTTTTCTGCTTTTGCAGAATGAAGAGCCCGTTTTTTCCAGGGATGGTCGGAAGTTTTTCTTCGTCCGGGCGATTCCCCAGGGAGGACGTGGCCATTTCTACCACATTGCCATGTCATCCTCACAGGTAACTCCCTGCTGCTGCTCTGGGTCTCACCTGAGGCAGACAGCAATAAAAAGTGGTATCTGTGCTTGTTGCAATGAGATGGGGAGGTGAAGATGTAAAAAAGTCTTGGGCATAAAAGAAAACCTCCAAGGATGCTTCATTTGGGCATAAGGTAATGTGAATTTCCAAAGAAAAAGGTCAGTGGACTGTGTCTTTCCAAACATTGTTATTGGTTTGGTTTGGTTTGGTTTGGTTTTTTTAATGCCACCTCTATTGTAGATAGGTGAATCTCCACCCTGCCATAAAGGATTAAACAGAAGCATGTGGGCACCTATATTAGAGGAAGGGGTTTGAAGTTGCTCTGGGCTGAATTCACCTCATTATCTTCAGTGGAGTCATGGTTAAGATGATTCAGACCCTCTGTTATTTCTATGCCTGCAAATTCACAGAAATGGCAGGTGTAGTGGTGGAAATTGCAGATATTTTGTTTATTTTTCATGGACAATGGAGCCAGAAGAGCTCCTTTTTTCAGAAGTTTTAACAATAAAGAAATCTATTTCTCTTTTCTTTCTGGCAGCCCAACAGTAGCAATGATGACTTACAGGCCATTACATCTGGAGATTGGGATGTGACAAAGATACTGGCATATGATGAAAAGAGGCAGAAAATGTAAGTAAACTTTGGCCTGACAAATCAGACTTCCTTTGTTTAGCCCTGGGCTCTGGGCTGGTTACAAAGGTGTTGTGTATGCACTGAAACCTGGGAGCATGATGATGGGGATAAGAAAGCAGGGGAAGCTCTCTCCATTTTGGCTTAACCTCTCACACCATTACTCATATCTTGTGTTATTTTGAATAATCTGCACAGTTCAAACCTTTCTTTCTATGACTGTGAAATATACTTGTGCAGACAAGTAATTTCTCCTGTTGTAACTTCTGATATTTCCTTCTGTAGGAAAGCAGCCTGTTTCCATCAAACACTTTGTCAGTTTTGGAGAGAATCTTTTGTTGACCTGCATAAATACCAATGCAGTGGGAAAAAAAATTAAAAAGTATTTAGTTAGAATTAGGAAAAAAAAAAGATAAACAAGAAAAACAAACCCACACTTCTTCACACTTGCTCTTTCTGATTTTAAAATAAGTTCTGTAAACATTCCCTTTTTCAAATACACTTCAAGAAATTACATAAGAAAATATTTAGGCACCTTCTGGAATCAAATAACAGATTCCTTTCCACAAAAACTTTTGGGTGGATACAAGGTTCTCACCTCTCAGTTACTCAAGGTCTCTGAACAGTGGAATAAACAGTCTGTGGAATATGATAAACTTTGAGTGATCATTAAGAGCACAGTGCTTCCTCAAGATTTTGAATGCTCTCAGTTACCAATAACTTCAGAACAATACAAAATCATAGAAATATAGAATCACAGAATGGCTTGGGCTGGGGGAGAAAGAGCATCCAGTTCCATCTCTCTGCTGTAAGCAGGGACACTTTCCACTGGACCAGGTTCCCCCTCAAACCTGTCCTTGAACACTTCCAGGGGTGGCCTAAGTAGCAAACTAGCACCAAAATCTTATTGGCATTTTAAGTGGCCAGTCAATCAGAAAATGCCACACACAATTTGTAGAATCACGATGTGTGCCTAGACAAGTGCAGATCAGCAGGGATGAAAACTCTTCCTGGCATTGTTCACCCCATGGATGCCACATTTGCTCCTGTGCTCTGACATCATCCACACAAAATGCATTTGGGGGTTTAAATCAGATTTCACAGGTGGGATTGAGGTTGCCACCTCCTGCAGCATCACTTTTACCTCCAGAAGCTGCCACTGCACGGCAGAGCCTAGGTTGATTATCCAGAGAGGAGCTCAGCACAGTCTCAGCACAGAACAAGGACAACAAAGTGTTCTTCAGCTTCAGGCTCTGCTTCCCATCAAACCCTGATTAGCTGACTAGCTGGGCAAAGAATAAATGTGGCCAGAGAAGTAAAAACTTCCTCTAGAGAGAGAAGAAAGAGCTTTAAAAGAAATTCTTACCCATGAATCTTGAGGTAAAAAGGTGGATGTCTTCCACTTAATCACTCGATTCTTTTTTAATCCACTGACATGACCAGTGTAGGACCCAAAGTTTTCCATGCTTGTTTTAAAAGCAGTGCAGTGTAAAATTACTTCCTTGAGCCTCATAGTGATGTGTCCCTCTGTATCCTTTCCTAGTTTAAACCTCTCTTGCTTTTACAAGATCATGAAAATGGCAGTATGAGTGAAGATGTTGCATGAGACACTTCTAAACACCCTTCTAAAGGAGCAATTCATTTTTATTTTCCCCCTCCAGCTATTTCCACAGCACAGAAGATTCACCAAGAAGAAGACATTTATACAGGTATGTGCTTTACTAACTTCATATACAGAATTTCCCATTTCTTCAGTTTTACACGAATCATAAGCAATTGCAGTAGAAGCAATTTTTTAAGTTTTTTTTTTTCTTTAATGGCATTGCAAGATCTTTCAGTCTGTCACTGGAAGAAACAGTGTAACCATAGCAATCAAAATGTTTGACACTTGGAAATGTTTTACATTTAGCAATTTTCTCATATCAATTCAAATTTTAAATTGGTGTCAAGATTGACTATCACAAAAAGATAGTTCACAATAGAACTGCTTAGCACTTGAAGGAATTCAGAGATACATAAAATAATGGTGTAGACTTTATAGTCTTTATACTTTTCAAAAGAGATTTTGAGAAATTTCATAGTAGTTCACCTCTTCATGAACTGAAAAGAATTAACAATATTTTATGTTTACAAACCTTTTTCTGCAGTTCCAGAAGATTTTAGCATTGTCCCTCAGTATATGATGAGTAAAAAGCTGGTTTTACAGCAAGCTGTTGGTTGTGTTGCCATTATGAAATGTTGTGGAAGCAGATTACAGAGTGGAGGAAACACAAATTTTTAAATAAACACTTTGGAATCATTATTCCATTTGTCCTGTTTTTCTTCTCAGTCACCCTGCTGCCATCACAACATCTGCCATGAAGGGCAGAGCTGGTGAAGGCGTCAGTGGACGAGGGACAGTCAGTGAATTTTCCTTCTCTCATATGACATCATATCTTTTTGTTCCTCAATGGGAAGGAAAGTAGAGCAAAATAAATTACCTGTGATTGAATAGTTTTTTTCTTTTGAGATCTATATGCCTGTTCACTGCACTCCACAGTTTTTTGAGAGTATTTTCTTGAAGAAAATTTTAAAAATTTAATTAACTCTTCATTTCTTTTGAAATGAGAAGAAAACCTCACTTTAAAAACAGAGTCCAGGCAGAGTTCAAGAGCTGCTGGCATGAGTGAAAGCACTCCCCACTCCTCCTTGTCAGCATCCATCTCACCCTGGTGCCTCATCAGCCTCATCTCCCCACACAGACAACAGAGAAAGAGCAGATGAAGACCTGTTTAGGAGAGTTTTTCCCCCTCCTTTTTTTGTGTTTGATTTAGTAGATTTAATTAGGACAGTAGTCAGAGATAAAATCTGAGCCTAAACAAGAGTCCATGATTACTCATTTCAGTCTCTGTGATCCTAAAAAGATTTCTCAGCCTCATCTCTTGAAATGGTAGCAAAAAATCACTCATCTGCATTACAGTAATACTGGAAAGATCTCTTGGTTAGTATTCTTGAAGTTTCAAAATGCTATCTATTAATATTTGCAAGTAATCTGTAATTCTTCAACATTCAGTAGACTCTTAGCAGCAAACTTGTAAGTAAACAGAGAGGCCACATTACCTTCCTCAACAGGAGATCCCTAAATACAACCTCTCCTTTCTGCTTGGGGGTTTTAAGAGCAGAGGTTTTTTATTTAAACCTGTACAAAGGGCTTTGGCCTCTGAGGCAGCAGCTAGCAAATCAGACCAGTAGTGAAACCAATAAGAAACTTAGAGAAAGCAATTCCAGCTCTTTATTGTCTGTTATAATACAAATAAGTGTTGAAATGTTGCTCCTTTGTTTCATGCCTTCATCCACCAAATTATTACTTCCTCTTCTGAAATTGCAACCATCATTTTCTCTTAAAAACTGTGCCTTCCTTCATAACCACCTGACCTTGCAAAATGACATCAGTATCCATTTATATATTCTCTATTCAAGCAGGAGGGGAAAAAATCCATCATTGCTATTTAAACTCAACCAAATGGAAATACTTTGTCTCTTGCTAATGTTGGACACATTAGATTTATATTCTTGTTCTAAAGAAAGGTTCAAGTAATGTTGCTTTCAAATAACATTTGCTCAGTGACCTTCATGGAATTGTATTAACTTTTTCAGTGCAAGCACAAATGGGAACTTCAACAGGAGGTGCCTGTCCTGTGATCTGATTGAAAACTGCACTTATTTCAGTGCATCCTTCAGCCACAATCTGGAATACTTCCTGCTGACATGTGAAGGTATGTGCTGGGTTCTGTCACTGCAGTTGTTGTGCCTCAGGGGCAGGATTTAGAGCCAGCACTGTCATCTTCAGACATTCTGTGTACCTGAGGTCAGCTTTGAAAGACTTGACATGAATATGTTTCTTTTAAAGCTTTACTCTTGACATTTTTCTTTTATATTTTTACTTGTAGCTAGAAAGCAAATATTTACAACCTTTTTCTGTGTATACATGCACTGAAGGTAGAGGTAGATTCCCCCAGCCACCACAAGCATCCTTAAAGGGAAATAACAGCAAAACCTGGAGGATATAAAACATCAGAAATTTTATGAGAGAGAAGCCAGCAAGGTGGGATAGACTGTGGGTGACTGGGACTAAGTTCCAGATACATCAACCAATAACACTGTGAATAGAGGGATTTAAAGTTACGAGAAGAAAATTTGCCAAAAAGGCAGCTTACAGAAGTGCTCCTGGTGGACAGTGTGAGTACAGAATAGCTGGTGTATCTTCCCTGCTCATATGTCATAGATCTGCTTTAACTTGGCATAATCTGCAGGTCCAACAGGGATTTCCTGTTTAGAAAATGCCTGGGTATCCAAGAGGCTAAAGACGTATTTCAGGAGAAGAGTCATTGAAGTTTTCTCCAGCTCGGTCAAGACTAAATGCAGAACTCTACAAAACTTAATCTATATTATTTAATTCTGCTTAATTATCCAAAATTGCACACAAAATGCATGCACACCAGTCATCTGCTCCTGGGATTGAAGCTGCTCAAATGGCTGCATGTCCTCTGCAGAGAGACCTGTAATGGTTGGATGGATGAACAGAGTCTGACAAGGTGGAGTTTAACAAGTCCAAGTGCCCAGTCCTGTTTTTTGGCCACAATAACCCCTGCAGTGCTCTGGGCTGGGGATGGTGTGGCTGGACAGTGCCCAGGCACAAAGGGACCTGGGGGTGCTGGTGACAGTGACTGACCATGAGCCCACAGTGTGCCCTGGTGGCCAAGGAGGCCAATGGCATCCTGGCCTGGATCAGCAATAGTGTGGCCAGCAGGAGCAGGGAGCTCATCCTTCCCCTGTACTTGGCACTGATGAGGTCCCACCTTGAGTGCTGTGTCCAGCTCTGGCCCCTCACTTTGGGAAGGATGTTGAGATGTTTGAGGGCATCCAGAGGAGGCAACGAGGCTGGAGAGGGGCTGGGAACACAAAGCCTGTGAGGAACCCCTGAGGGAGCTGGGGGTGCTCAGCCTGGAGAAAAGGAGACTCAGGGCTGCCCCCATCACTCTCTGCAGCTCCTGAAAGGTGCCTGTGCTCAGCTGGGGCTGGGCTCTTTCTGCAGCAGCACTGACAGAAACAGAGCACACAGCCTCAAGTGGTGTCGAGGGAAATATAGGTTGGATATTAGGAAGAAGTTTTTTATGGAAAGAGTGATAAAGTTCTGGAATGGCTGCCTGTGGGGGTGGTGGAGTCGCCATCCCTGGATGTGTTTAAAAACAAACTGGATGTGGCACTGGGTGCCAGGGTTTAGTTGAGGTGTCAGGGAACAGGTTGGACTTGATGACCTTGAAGGTCTTTTCCAACCCAGTGATTCTGTGATTCTGTGAAAAGGCCTGAAAAGCAAACAGGAAATTCCTTATTTTCAACAGCTCAAGAGAAATGTGAGTAGGTTTTGAAGGGATATTGGGAAGGAATTCTTTACTGTGAGCAAGATGATGCCCTGGCACAGGTTGCCCAGAAAAGCTATGGATGCCCCATCCCTGGAAGTGTTCAAGGCCAAGTTGGATGGGACTCTGAGCAATCTGGGATGGTGGTGCCCATGGCAGGGGGACAGCAGGGATCTCTGTGGGGATGCAGGGACTGCCCCTTCTCTGACTCTCAAGAATCCACTGCTGCCACTGTTTGTGGTGAGCACCAAGGGTAAGGAAGGAATATTTGTGATGATAGAATGGAAATAATCAAGATAAAGTGGAGAAGTAGAACAGTTTGTATAAAGTAAAATACCTGGATTAAGACAATTGTAAAAACATGTTTTTCCCCTGGAAGGGAATGACAGGTTGCATGTCAGAGGCATTTAGAGGTACTAAAAGAAATATCTGGCAACACAGTACAGAAAAATAGCATTAACAGGGCAATACACTAATTGATTTCATGGACTAATTAACTTAATGCACTTACCTGTAAATCTGAATTTATAGTTATGGCAGACATATGCAGAGAAGTGTCATTTGTCAAAAAACATTCAGTTCTCTAGTAAATATTATGTTTACTAAGTTCCTCCTTCTAAAAAAAAAACTTTGTTTAGGTTTTTTTTTTTTGTTTTCATTTCAAGAACAGCTGTCAGGAGCTACCAGAGACAATGTCCATTTCCTTTGCATCAAGAAAATTGTTGTACTGTAATTAGAAGCATTTGTGAATAACAAGATTAAGGTTTCTGAAGGGCCTTATCAACAATTATGAGATGATTTTGTTTTTATTACATTATCACAAAAACCTGCAGTGATACCTGAAGAGATTAATTAGTTTTATTAGTGTGTACATTAATCCAGTACACAAGATAATGATTTTGCACAATAAACTGTGAGCCTGATTCTCAGCTGCTGTAAACAATAACTCAATTATAAGGTCATTAGGATTAGATATATTTACATCTGCTGAATATATCTTTGTCTGAATTTAGTTATTCAGGACTAAATCCTCAAATCTCACTATAGCACAAATGCAGCACAGCTTCATCTGTGGAGCTCATCTCAGTGTCTCCATTCAGGAAACTTTAAAAAAAAATATGCATACATGAGAAAGTACAGAAATCTTGGTAGAGTTTCCATTTTCAGTGATTTTATAAAAATATCAGTCTATTGCATTTGGTGGAATTATTCCTTACTTACATGAATGTGAAAGATCTTTCAACCTATTTGCTTTCAAGCAATTGGAGGGAACCACATTTCTTTTTGGCATTTTTCATGTAGGATCCATCCAATTCAGGTGTGTGCTGTGGGTGCACTTGCAGCAGGGACAGCTCCCTCTGGCTCCTGCTGCAGCTGATGTCAGCCAGGTCAGTGGAAACCTCTGTTCTGGATGAAGCACAAATTTCTGGATAAAAACATCATCCTGTCAGACTTTGGTGATATGAATAGGTGTTGTGGTTTCATGGAGAATCATCTGGATCCACTAAGAGGACAATTCCTCTTGCACAGCTCCTCAGACTGCTTAGCCACAGCTTGGCCATGCCTCAGCTCCTCAGGGTGTTGGGTCATTGCTCACAAGCATTCATGCTCTGGTATGGTTTAGATTAACAGGAAATCTTATTTATTCATATGCACGTATAACAAAAAAAAAGGAAAAGGTCCTTTGTCACAGACATCTTTTATGAAAAATCCTTTCCTTAGGATTTTTCCTCCTGAGAAGCTGAAAGGCCTCAGGAACAAAATGTAAACATTGGTTATCTGCTGCTGTGGAATGCAACATGTGGATCTGTGATTGGTCTCATGTGGTTGTTTCTAATTAAAGGCCAATCACAGTCAGCTGGCTCAGACTCTCTGTCCGAGCCACAAGCTTTGTTATCATTCTTTGCTATTCTATTCTTAGCTAGCCTTCTGATGAAATCCTTTCTTCTATTCATTTAGTATAGTTTTAGTATAATATATATAATAAAACAATAAATCAAGCCTTCTGAAACATGGAGTCAGATTCTCATCTCTTCCCTCATCCTCGGACCCCTGTGAACAGTCACACTCCTTGAATGAGGATCTATCAAGGGCCACTGCAGATCCTGTAATTGATCCAGCAGACAGAGCAAGCCCACCAGGTTGAACAAGAGTTTGCCTTCTTCCCCAAGGGCTTCTGCCAGGAGTTCCCATCTCTGCTTCCCCCCAAAAAATCCCCACAGTTGGAGCCAATGCTCAAGACCAGACAGTGGCAGACAATACCTGTGGCTGTTTGGTGCTTTCTTCTCCATAACATGTCTAACATGCATAAATTTGTATCTAAATATGTGTCAAGTACATAAATCTCCATAATATGTATAAAATGCATCAATATGTATTAAAGCACCCAGAGCTCAGGTCTTGCTGTCTGCTCTGTGACTGTGACATAAAAATGAGTGTTCATAGTGATCACTGGTGTACCCAATGTCAGCCCCATATGTATCTTTGGAGGTAGCTAAATTAAATTATTTTCCTGTAATCAAGCCTGTAGTAGCTTAAAAATTTGTATTTTGTCAGCTATCCATAGGACAAACACATGGGCAAACTTTTATGGCTTGAAAACAATTTCTGTACTGACAGAGAATAACCTCCGCCATACCTCAGCTTCACTCTGTCTCTTCTTTTGTGACCTTTTGTTGCAAATTTCTTTGAGTTTAGAGCCACAGACATGACTTTGGCTCAGCTGAACTTCTCTACAATGGATGGCAAGGTTTGTAAGATTTGAGCAATCAATCAGTGCTTATAAAATACTTTGTGATACTTAAATGAAAGGCAAGGGAAAGGCAAAATATCAACCTAAAAGAACCCCAAAAAAACAAGAAAGGACTGGCATCGCTCATTTGATCCCAAAGGGCATGAGCTGGAAGTTTTCTACTCACTCTTTTGATGCTTTAAAGGGAACATATAATTTCTTTAAGAGATTTTTTGCTGTCCTGCAGAATATATTTCACAACTTTGCTACCTGGCACAGGCTGAAATGAGAGCAGCTGCTGCAATAGAAGGTAACCTCTCTTGAAAGAGGACAGTGTAATGCTTGCTGTCAGGAGGCAGCATTTATTGCAATCAGTCAGTCCCAGAAGGCCAGTTACCTTATTTTTCATCTAATTTTATATGCTCATGATTGAATTACTGTAGCAGGATCTAAGGAAACATGATGGTTTGCAGACTGCTGCTAGATTATCTCCTCTAGACATGGTTGAAAAAGCAATATCTTCTTGACCAAGGTCACTCCTACTGTCATTTGCACCATAAAATATATGGGTTTACACTTCTGCCTCTTCTCATAAACCAGCACAAGCACCTCCACTGATTCCATC